TGAATTATGTTTTTTAGGGTTTTGAATTATATCATAAATACAGAACAGATAGCACCATTGGAAATGTTGTGACATGTTGTAGCAGCTATACCGTTATCTGTATCTACTCTCCACGGAGGTAGTTTTGGCGTCGGTAGGCTCGTCTTCAGGCATCGTAGGCTCGTCTTCAGGCATCATGGTGGTTCTGAGTTTAAACCACCATTGCCAGAACCCCGTCTCGTCTCCCCATGGTTTTGATCCGTGTTCCTGAGAAGCGACCTTTGGCGATGGCTTTTCTAGACTTCTTTCGTCGTTGCTAGATTTATCTTTAGCAACAGAACCTGTGTTAACTTGTTCAGAAGATGTTTCTACTATCTTTGCCTGACTAGGTTTAAGAGAGGTTCTTGTATTCGGTGGCTTTTGTAATGGAAGAGTTGAGGAAAGTGTATCTGGTTGCGGATCCGGAAGTGATGTAGGCATGATGGGAAGAACTACATCCGGGGACCAGGAATGAGTCTCTACCCAGGCTTCCCTTTCCCTGTAAGTACTCACATCACCATGGCGACGGTTGCTAGGCGGGTGGTTACGTTGTTCCGTTGCTATGATATCATCGCCAACGTTCCTCCCGCGGTAGATCCGCTCCAGTCTGCCGGTGTGACAGCTCCGCCGGACGTAGGCGTCTCCCTCTCTGAACCACCGCGGGAAGCACTTGTTGGACTTCGGTTTCCTACCGACAGGGGGCGTAAGTGTGTTAGGCCGTAAAGTCACAACGACGCCATCTTGCTTCTCATTATCCGTTGATTCGATTGGTTTGTTACGATCGGCATCTATTCTACTATCAGATGAACTTGACCCGATGTAAACTTTTGGAAAGTTCCTAGATTTATCATAGTTTAGCCTCTCCTGAGACCAGATGATGGGCGGGGGCCGCTTCCGCCTGGACTGATGACGTCGTTGTTCTTCCTCAGCCTGTACTGACGTCACTTCCGTTTTACGTCTGGTACCTCTGTGTCGTCCCTTACTGGACAGATCGCTCTTCTGTAACGACTTGTTACGCCACCACTGCCAAAACCCGCGCTCGTTCTTCCAAGGCTTGGTGCTGACCGACGCTGTTGTCATTGCCGTTGCAATTTCTGTCGTTGTACTTTTCCCGACGGTTGTAGCAGCTATGGACGTTGTATCTGCCGCATGCAACACCGGGCTAGAAGAGTCCGGTCCACTGGTTCGCATTGCCGTTTTGTTGGAGAAAATATGTTCATTTGACAGAGTTGGAATCTGGTTTCTTACCACTGATGGCCTCTTGGTGGAAGCTGTTGGACTTACAGTTGTTGAGGACATCTTCGTTGATGCGGGGGTGTCATCTGCTTTTGGAAGAGCCGTTGGTTTGTCTGCATTTTCTAACGTAGTGCTTGGAGTAATGGCTTGAGAATCTTGTACCTTAGACAAGACATCTGAGCGGTGTCTGTCTGGTCTTATCGGTCTCATTTTTGCTGTTGATGCCGGAGAGTAAAGTGGAACAGATGGGTTCCTCAGTGGTGTCCTTGGCAATGGAACAACCACACTGGTAGTGGCCTGTGTGGTAGAATCTGCTGTTTCATCATTTGCAGTTTTGGAACTTGCAAACGGAGTTGTTGGTTTGATGCTCTGACCAAGAAACAGCTCGGTAAAGAGGCTCAGAAGATCGGTAGGCTTCCAAACAGTTTCTGTTGTCGGGGATGTGGCTGTGGGCTGTGGTGAAGTTGTCTGTTTGGAATCGACGTTGTTGATGTCTTCTACGGTCCTGGGTCCGTGGTCGACGGTTGTTCCGTGAGACTGTTCCCGAGCATTGTACGTACCTTCGGCCCTGACAATGGCGCTACCTGTGAAGGCAAAAGATAAGAAGATACGTCGATGAAGGTTAGACATCCAGGTAATACGATACGCCAAAAAGCAGTAACTCAAGCAACTGGATATGATTTTGAAAACGTCAGACGTTTCAGCTAGTATCCACTACTCACTAACGAAAGCTAGAGGATACTAGCTGAAACGTCTGACGTTTTTAAAATCATATCCAGTTGCTTGAGTAACTGCTTTTTGGCAAAAAAGATAAGAAGTTCAGTTCTTCCCGTACAAAGTAGTGGTGCATAGGGTGACACACAAATGCTGAGTGCTAAGTAGAAAAAAGCACTATGTACCATTTTTAAAGTTTGGTATGACTCTGCCTAGTGATCGACCAATAAAATCCACTTAAAATACAGAAATTTTCAACGAACGCTTCTGCAGTTTCATAACAAGGCGCTAGGGGGCCAAACTTATGTCACTTCTTCCCTACCCCAAGAGCTATCTACCAAGCAAAATTCGTGACCCTAGCATGTCCAGATGGCAATATATCAAAACCGGAAGTTCTGCTGCAGTACCAACAAAGGCCGCCAGGGGGCCTATAGAATGTAATCATTTCTAGGTCTCAACAAGACCTACCCACCTACCAAGTTTCATGACAATGCATATTGAGCTTCTTGAGTTATGCTGTTCACAAACAAACAGACGGACAAACGGACAAACGGTACTGAAAACATAACCTTCTTGGCGAAGGTAATTATATGTCCTATGAAATTCGCTACGGTATAAAAGAAACAACGTGCATCATCTAGGTCATGCTAGCAGACGACATGCCAAACTACATGCATTATCGTCATCATCACGATGGCTCCGGATTAATCCGGTGAGGTTTAACTTTGATAAAGTCACTCCAGTACACCCTGTCCCTCATGGTAGGCACTAGAGTAGTCCCTGCGAGACCAGTGTCTTTCTCTATTACATGTATTGACAACAGTGTAGTATGTGGTCTTCCCACTCTAGGTCTCGCAGAGGGAAGCCACTGGATTACACCTCCTTCGTGGAGTAATCCAGTGGCCATCGCGAGCAGAAACAACTTCTACAGGCTCTCGTTCTTCCCCCGCACCATCAGGGAATGGAACAAACTTGAGCCTGGTGCGGCGGAGGCGTGGTCGCTCGCCCAGTTTAATCTGAACTGGCGAGAACCCTGCTGCATTGAGCCACCCCATCATGTCTTGTATATATGTAAATATTACTAACGCACTAATGTACTTGTCCCGTCTTTAGCACACACAAAAGAAGTTGTCTTATGTTCCCTTCTCAGTTATCCTTGTTTTCCCTTTGTTTTTTCTTTATGTACAGGGTCACAATTGTTACTAACAATGCGTAACGGCTGGCAATAACCCTACACTGTAGGGCTGGGCAATAACGGAGAAGAAGAAGAAGAAGAAAAAGGAGAAGAAAAGAAGAGGAAGAAGAAGAAGAAAAAGAAGAAAAAGGAGAAGAAGAAAAAGGAGGAGGAGGAGTAATAAATTTCATGTACCAGTAAAGAGGTTGGACGGTCGGAGTGCCCATCTCCTGATAGCTGCGGGACAGCGGGTCCGCGGGTCCGGGCCCAGGACGAGGTTACAGCGGGGAGTCTGACGGAGGCGGTCCTGTGTGTTACATCTCCGGGAGGAGGAGAAGCCCAGACCCCGCGCCTGGACACCGTAGGACCCGCTCGGAATGGTCGTCCAGAAGTATCCGTCAGATGCTAGAGGAAGATGTTATTGAAGTCAATTCAAAAACCAATCCTATATACAAGAAACATAAGTACCTCACCATATAACATTAAAGAAACGTGCCATATTGTGGGTTCAGCACCAAGGACAGTATAGAAATCTACTGTAAGACAACTATTAGAATGCTGTGCTTTCCATACACTGACAATAGGCTGAACTAATGTTTAATTGTTTTTGACTCAGAATCTGAAGGTCCTAGGTAGGAAGACCTGACAGGCCCCGGGGGGACACCAGTCCTATTTCCTATATACTCGACTCGGGGGAAAATTAGTACCTATGCTATTTTCGGTTGGGGACGTCCTCTCAGATAGAACGTAAAGCCGGAGGTCCCGTGTACAAACAAACAAACAAACAAACAAACAAACAAACAAACAAACAAACAAACAAAGGAAACCTTACAGTCAGGTCTTGCACTTACTGTACAAAACTGGTGTGTAACACGAAGAAGTTTCAACTTCTTTTTGACACCTAAAGCTGATTTATCGGTTACAAAACAAAACACCAGACACTAATATTCATTCTCTATACCTACCTGTGCTAACGCCGTTGAGTACGCCGTCGATGTAGATCACAGCGCCCTCTACCGGAGTGCAGGCAGAGTTAAACACCAGGCCACGCAGCAGCTTCAGTTTCTTTCTCCGCCGTCTGTCCTTCCGGTCTGGCTTGTTGTTCTTTCCAGCCTTCGACGGAGCCGCATTTCTGTTCTCTGGAGAGGTTACAGTTTCATTTATGCTGTTATTGTTTTGGTCAGTAGTGTCTGTTGTGCCAGGTGGAACGGTCGTCGCCAAGGCCGTTGCATGTTGATATTTGCGAGTCGTTTGAATGGTGGAAATGTCAATCTTTGGCTGTTTAATGGTATTTGGATGCACGAAAGTAGTGGTAGATTCAGATACTTTCGCAACAGACGAAATCGTTGACGAATTTCCTGGTGATCTCGAAATGTTTAGCTTGGTTTCGGATGTCGACCAAATTTCCGAACTATCAACATTGTTCACTTTGGCATCTACAGTATTAACAGCCGTTGGCGAATGTAAAGCTTCGTTCAGTCTACTTGCAGAAGTGAACGTTTTTTCGGGTTTGAGTGTTGGCGAAGGCGTGTCTGTTGACGTCCATCGGGCTTCGGTCGTCTCTTTGTCGTAGTCTGATCGCGGTCTGGTCGCGTTGTTGTCAGTAGCACGTGTCGGACCGTAGTCTAGCACCTTACTGTCTCCTGCAGTGGTAACAAGATCCGGTAGGCGCGCTGCTGTGTTGGCTCTTACTGCTATGTCAGGATTACTAGTACCTAACTTGTCGGAGATAGTAGTTGTGGAGTCAAATAAAACATCAGTAATGGTAGAAACGTTGGGCGTTTCTGTGGTTGTGTCAATGTAGATATGCTGACCTGTTTTGGAAGGTTGTCCTTTTGGGTCAGTTGGAATCATTCCATCATATCCTGAGGTGGTTGTCCAGGGCGTTGTTGTTGGTGGTAGAACAGCAACACTCGGCGTTGTAGTGTGTTCTTGTGCCACCGTTGTAACTGTTGAGTAGTTGTAACGTGAAGGAATACCACCTACAGTCGATTCTTCTGTCTGTGTTCGTAGGTTGGGAGCATCATCAAACGTGGAAATGTAGGCCTTGTCCACTGGTGTCATATCTTTGTGAATTTTTGCGTCACTTTCTGAAGTAGAGAGATGTACAGAAGACGCCAAGCCATACGGTGTTGTCGTTTCCATCGGGGGGTCGGTAGGTGTTCGCTGACAGCGAATAGAAGGGTCAGGACTCAGCACGAAGTCACAGCGGGTTCCCCGGTCGTCCACGGCACACTCCCGGGAGGTGGAGAACTCCCGCCCCATGGCCAGGACCGTGTAGCGGCCCGGGGTCAACAGCCGCCAGTAGTAACCGTCAGTAGCTAGGGTAAAGAAAATATGTTTTTAAAATATCTGAGAATTCAAACTTTCAGTAAGTATATTGTTAAACATGCAACTGTATGGGACTGTGATAGCTCAGTATTGTTAGTTAACAAATCTTATATTATATATAGAAACACTTTACATTTGGAACCACATATGACCCTATGATGTAACAATGCCTATGTACAATGTATGTCACAATTGTACTATGTTAGGAAATGCATTGTTAACAGTAAACACTAGCTTAAGTGCACGGAGTTAAAAGATCCTTCTCTTTTCTAGCTCTATGTTTTAAGCTCCGTGGTCCGGCCCTAGTTCTAGGACCGGACAAATTCTCCTGGGCTCAACTCCGTGGCGGAAATTTAGATAGGCGGGCGAAGGGCTCTTGGCTGCAGAAGGAAATCGGCTCACGGCCCGATACTAGTTTGGCACCCAGGGTAGTGATATTTTGTCACAGCATCAATTGAAAAAAATTGATTTCTTCCAACAGCTGAGAACGTGAATTTACCTGTAAACACACTTAGTGTGATGCCGACCACGTGAACAATGGCTCCTTCCACTGGCTTACAGGTGACGTCATACACGAACCCTCTGAGGAAGCGTTTGATTGGTGCGTTAGTGGGCGTGGCCGGTGTAATGATGTCTTTGATCCTACCGCTCTTTTCTGCTGCAGGTTAACGACAAAAATACAATGTACCGTAGCTGTACATATTACCCGTTGATAAAAAAAGTTTAATTCGCAGTAAAACTACTATCAACGGGCAAGATGATGTGCGTAGATTTTTTTCACAGAGCCGATTGCATGCTGGGAAACACGAAGCATTATGGGTAGCTCATAGGACAAACAGAACTATCATCATGATACAAATACCGTATTTGAACAGCATGCACAAACCGCATAAGCTTTGCCTCTGGTAATGATGCTGTTTGTCCCCCGAGCTACCCATGGTGCCCCGCGTCTCCCAGCATGCAACGGGATCTGTAAAACGTCTATGCGTGACCTAATATCGGTGATGAATATCACTAATAAAAATTGCAGTCAATCTTCACTATGACCTAAGGAAATTTTTCATCATGATCTTGATGGCCTTTTGGGCAAGGCACGCAGCGCATCGGTTTTGAAATCAGATGTAATCATTGATTTTTACGAAGCCATATAGGAACACTAATAGGTATCTCCATAAGTGAGAAGAGTCCATTGGAAACAGAACTAAGTAGAGATGTATCATTGTTTGCGGATTAGGCAATAATTCATCATATACCGAAAATCAAAGAAATCAGTCAAATTTTGAACCCCTGATAATTTATAGCTCCTAACACAAAATATAAACAACAAGGACAGTACCTTCCTGTGGAAAGATTTTTGGTCTTTTCCAGGTAAAATAATGTTTCGAAATTGCGTATATTGGCATTAGAAACCTGCAGATATAATCGCACCTTTATTCTTATTCTCCTGAGATGGAGTGATGACGTCATAGCCTTCTGTTAGTACGGTTGTTGTCATGGCAACGGTTGTCTTGGCAACGCTAGTGGGCGGAGTCGGCGAGACGGTCGAGGACGTTTTTGTTTCCTCACCAGTGCGGGTCCGCCCTCCCCCCTCCGCCGTGTGATCGGGACAGCGGACGGATGTGTTGGTGCCCAGGATGAAGTCACAGCGGACCGCCTCGTTACGGTAGTGCAGGAAACACTCCCGGGTGGTGGTGAAGCTTCCCGCCGACGCCGTGACGGTGTAGTACCCCGGTAGAACCAGCTTCCAGTAGTCTCCGTCCCGCGCTAACGTGAAAAAAAAATAGTTCTTGGTTTTTCTTTTTGGTTTTTATTGTTCAAACAGTACCCATGCAGTCGCAGCCTTTATATAGCTGAATTGATGCAGGGTATCACATAATAATCAAAACAAATCACAACAATCAAATAATACACAACACACATATTTACTCCTCAGATTTTTGCCATTCGGCGCCACAAGGTGACCTCAATACGACTTTCCCCAACCGAAGTTAGTTAATTTACACCTGGGTGTAGTGTGGAAAGTTGTGTAAAGTGTCTTTCGGGCAAAACGTCGTATGTTCAGACATGTCCCGGGTAGGACTCGGGATCGAGCCCGGGTCTCCCCGCTTCATAGTCGAACGCTCTACCACTACGCCATCCGACACCACACGTTCTTTAAAAATTCACGTCATTTGACCCTTTTATACAACATGAATTTGGAAATCTCAGACCTTCATGTTTATTGTTTATTGTTTATTGTCCTTTCGCACATAAAAAAAGTAATGGTATAAAAAGAAATTATGTACAATCAAATACATGCAGGAGATCCCAAGAAACCAGGAGGTTTATCTAGTGGGCTCTCCCAAATCCTGTTGATGATCTCATATTTACAACATTATTTACGTTAACAATTAACATGCATGTCTTAAGGGACAAACAAGAGAAAATTAACTCAAACAAGATAATATAAAGTTAACACGGCAAACTAAATATCTAAACAATAAAGTAAGACAATCAAAAACATATCGTATTCAACAAAAAATACATTTCCATTAGTCAAATCATAAGTTAATATGGTAAGAACAACATAAGAAACCAATATTAACGCAAGGAAAATATCGTAGCATAAGAAAACAAGGAAAACAAAAGCAAATCAGGAAGTGGTAGATGGCTTCTCTATTAGGTCAGTTTTTAAATGTCGTTTGAAAGTTGGAAGGGATTGGCAATTCTGCTGTGAATGACTTATACTGTTCCAAATTAACGGGCCTCTAAACATTATCGTAAACTGTTTCATATTTGATTTTGTTAGGATTGGCCTTAAATCATTTTGCTTTCTGGTACTGTAACTGTGGATATCTGAGTTGTATTGAAATATGTCCTTGAATTGAGCTGGTAATTGTGAACTTTTGTGTAAGACTTTGTGGACGAAAATTGCTGTTTGGAGTTTATTTATGTCGTACACTGTTAAAATTTTCAAGTTGTAAAATAGAGCAGCAGAGTTAGCAAAAAATGGGACATTAGATGCAATCCTAACGAAGCGCTTCTGCAGCTGATGCAGCGGTCGGATTGAAGTAGTGTATGTACTAGCCCAGACTATATTACAATATGTTAAGTAGGGATAAATCAAAGTATAGTACAGAGTGATAAATATTTTACGTGATAGGCAACTTGCAACTTTTCTTATTATACCAATGTTCTTATAGATTTGTTTACAGATACGGTCAATATGAAACTTCCATGTGAGTTTCTCATCAATTAGGACTCCTAGAAACCGTGTGTTACATACCTGTTTGATTGGTTTATTGTCTATGTATATATTAGCTATTTCTTTGTCGTATTTTTACTTCTACCTGTGAAAATAATGAAGTTCGTTTTATCTATGTTAAGAGACAACTTATTTAACTTAAACCAGTCGTTTAGTTTACATAGCTCTTCATTAACGGTTGTTATTAGTGTATGAAAATTATTGTGAGAATAGAAAAGATTAGTATCATCGGCAAATAATAGAGTGAAGAGTTTGACTGATACCAGGGCAAGATCATTGACATAAATCAGGAACAAAAGAGGACCGAGTATAGATCCTTGTGGGACTCCGCATGTTACTGATTTTAGAGATGAAGTGAAGTTATTACTCGAAACATACTGCATTCTATCGGACAAATAATCTTTTAACCATTGAAGGGCTGTACCTTTGAAGCCGTAAGAGTTTAGTTTGCTAAGTAATATTTTGTGATCCACAGTATCGAAAGCTTTCGATAAGTCGAGGAATATCCCGATACTGAATTCGTTTTTTTCCAAAGCTGACGTAATTTTATTTATTAGTTGTAATAGGGCCATATATGTTGAGTGGTTTTTACGGAATCCATATTGGTGTGTGTATAAAATGTTATTATTTTCAAGGTGCTTCAAGATTCTGTTATACACTATTTTTTCTAAAATTTTTGAGAGTGCTGGTAAGATAGAAATTGGTCGATAATTTGTAAACACACATGGATCACCGGCTTTATAAAGCGGGATTACCTTGGCTACTTTTAAGTCGGAGAGTACTTTTCCTGTCTCTAAAGAAACTTTAAAGACATGAGTAATGGGTTCTAGGATTTCTGCATTAATCTGTTTTAAAAGTGTTGCATTAATTTCATCCTTACCAGGGGCAGCATTTTGAAGATTGTTAATTATGTCATGGATTTCTGCTGTGCTAGGTGCGTCAAATAAGTTGATGGGAGGAATATCATTTTGTACGTAGGATGATGGAGATTGGTCAGTCTTGTCTATTTTACTTGCCAGGGAAGGGCCGATATTTACAAAAAAATCGTTAAACTTGTTAACTATATCTACTTTATTTGTTATTTCATGAAACCATTAAACCGTGTTCACAAGTCAGAACTTTTAGGATGGGTCTCCCATGATTGGCCATGAAACAGGGCTCCATTGGTCCAGACAAATAACCAGTTTGCAATCTACTTTTGCAATCCCGCTCTTTATCGTGCAATGAGAAAACGCCATCTCTCAGCTGTCAAGAAGGTCATGTAATGAAAAACATGTTTCAAGTTTATTCCTTTAACCAGCGCATAAGTCAGATCTACAGATCTGCTTTTCAGTTATACCTGGGAAGGTGCGTTTAAAAATACAGAATGTCACAAAAAAATACACGATTATTTACACGTGACGTTACAATCAATCAATCAACAACTAGTATCGACCACGGGGTTCCGCAAAAAATACTGTGTACCTTCAACACGTAATATAAAGTGTAATCTGCCCTCTACATCCCCGCACTAACCTGTGGTGACGTCATGGTCGATCCCCTCCACATGGATAACAGCGCCCTCTATCGGCTTGCAGTTCTCGTCACGCACGAAGCCTTTGATGCCGATATGGATCTAGAGAAATAATAGAAAATGTCAAACAACCCACAGGGACAGCAGGTAACAAATACGATGTCCAATTCACGCTACAGTGCAGTTACAAAACAGCCTTTGCCGCTCTATGGTAAAATTTTGGTTATCTCCAAGCAGATACACGTGTTTTTATTGTTGGAGGTTGTGATGACTGGCTTCTATAGTGACAGAGAATTCTGAGCTCTAAGGAGAGAGTTTCTAGCTCCTATTCGTAGTTCTGAAAATAAGGATGGTTCTCTCGAGTTAGAGGTGTATTCATCAGTTTCCCATCCCCAGAATGCAATGCAAAAACAGGGGTCTAAACTCATTTGCATAGGACATGAAGGCATCGGAATGATCCTGTTGACGTTAAACAGCTTGTTTTTCACTGTGTTTTGGGGTGTTGGGGCATTTCATGCTCAACATTAATTACTATGGGTTGAATCTGACAACAAATAGAGAATTAATTTTTGGAATATGTGGTTTGTAACGTTATAGTGGTAACGCTATACTGATGCTGTAACGTTACAAACCACATGTTCCATGTTGAAAAGAACACAAAAACTTCATTCTCTATTTGTTGTCAGATTCGACCCATAGTAATTTGATACATGTTTAGCATAAAATGCCCCAACACCTCAAAACATAGTGAAAAGCTGTTTAACGTCAACAAGATCATTCCGATGCCTTCCTGTCCTATGCAAATGAGGTTTAGACCCCTGTTTTCGCATTGCATTCTGGGGATGGGAAACTGGTGAATAGCTCCTCCCCAAGCAGAGATATACGTCTGACAGTTTGTCAATGTTTGACAATTTAAGTTTTATCGGAGTTCTTAAACTGGTATCTTTCTTAACCAGGTGGCAAAATGATACTACCTGGCAAGAAAAAAATGTGCAACACAAGCTATGGTTCTCACCTGCTCCATAAACCTGAGTAAAGATTCCTTGTTGTTGTGCCATTCCTTCTCCAGGTCCTTCTCCGCGGGAAACTTGGAGCAGCCGAGCTCCATGGCGAGGTCCAGACTGTTGGTGTGCAGGTACAGGAAGTCTGACAGACCTGGACGGTAGGCATGGAAGAAAGTTAAACATGGGCCTTTTCATGGATCAAAAGCGGCCTCTAGCAATCAGTTGCAGTACTGCAGTATTGCGCGGCGTACGATTCACCTGTTTTTATTGTAACGATACATGCTTCATTTCATGGATCAGAAGCGGCCTCTATCAACCAGTTGCAGTACTGTAGTTATATTTGTCCATGGTTCACCTGCCTGATACTGTATGCTAATGACATCACTCACATTACTTTTGACTACCCTCTTTGAACATTTTCAATGTGATAACAATGGTTAAGATCTAAGAAAAATGTTAGTAGGGGCGCGGTCACATTTATCCTAATCCGTCATACGGTTTTGATGTCATAGTATTTTCAACCAAGCAGGATGCGAAAGAACCAACAGCTGACAAGCATCCTCTAACTATTTCTTCAATTTGCCGTAACTGACGTACCGACCACTAAGTATCTGATACCAGCCCGGAAAAGAACAAGAAACAGTCATGCCTTCAAATATCAGAGTTATCAACCAACAATTGAGGTATTCAAAAACTCGTATTTCCCCAGAATTATCGTAGACTGGAACTCGTTACCACAGTTGGGGCATCCTCACTAGAAAGCTTTAAACAGCTCCTGCAATTAAATATGCAAAGATTGAGTGTAACAAGCCGTTCGGTGCAATATACTAGTAGCTAGCTGCCGTCGCGACGCGTGCCTGCGAAGCTGGTGTGTTACGACAAAGGGCGGTTATACCGGCTATACTGATACAGATACAGGGCAGCTGAATTTCGACAATTGCACAACTATCCCAATAATACGATCGCACGATGGTCGCACGACAAATATGATAGGATATCAGCATGAAAGTTCATTTGAATTGGTAAATTAAATTATGAAAAACATAAACTGTTCTCCAACTCAAAATTTGACTCCCCAGAAATTTTCGACTGAATCACTCAGTCTTCCTCAGCTATCTGACCCAAATGCTGTGGAAACGTGATTTTTCCGACGTGTGACGTCAGCAAAGGGTCAAATGTTGTCTGAAGTCGATATCGCCCCCCATCCCGGCTGACGTCACACGTGGGAAAAATCACGTGTCCACAGCATTTTGGTCAAATAGCTGAGGGAGACTGAGTGATTCAGTCGAAAATTTCTGGTGAGTCAAATTTTGAGTTGGACACAGTTGAAGTTTTTCATAATATATGAGATATAGCTATGTCTATTTGAGATCCGTTACCTCCGGACACGCTGAACCAGGAAGCGCCATTAGCGATGCCGCCCTGGCTGGCGAAGTTCTGGTACCGGCAGGGTTTGGTGTAGGGGTTGGTCATGGTGCGGTGTGAGACGGCGTACGTCTGCGCCAGGTGTCGGAACATCCCGTCATCCGGCGTCCGGCTCTCGGCGGACAAGAAGCCCCACAGGTCATACCCCTGGCGGGTCACCTGAAAAATGCAGGTGGATTCTTGTACCACAACAACCATACTTAATATAGTAGAGGGGATTCATTCCTCAAGCTAACCGACATCTCGCACGTGTGACAGGCTGAATAAAAGTTCTAAACGGGAACTATGCGGCTCCATGTGTCTGCATGTGCGAGATATCGGTTAGCTTGAGGAATGATTCCCCTCTACTATATACAACAACCATACTTTAACAAAGACGGGGGTGCCACAGACTTCCTGCAACTTATGGTTCACTGCTCACCGTGTCAAGCTGTCTATATCATAGCGTAATGTCACAGAAGCGGAGCATTCCTTGACAAATGACTGGAGTTGAACAGTGAAAACTTTGGTTAAGTTCATTTTGTCGTGTTCAAAATTACATGTACAGTTCAAATATGTTTCAAGGCAACTAATTCATATTCTTGTTATGGGATTCATTACCTCGGGGAAGGAGATATCCTTCCGCGAAAGGGGTACTATAGTTGGTAATCTTATTGTGTTCGCAGCTGTAACTCACGGTGGATTGAATGGATTATGGATTTCTTTGATTTTCGGTATATGATTAATTATTGGGGTCTAGATGTGGCGGAATTTTTTCATTGTATTTGTATTTTCATTTGTCAAAATAAACTAATTGGACACCCCCGTGCAACACACAGTGCGATCGTCTGATATTAGGGACTGTTTTGAAAGTGTATTCGCTAACCTGTCGGGATTATACCATTATTATTTCAGGTGGGAATAACAGGCTCTGATGAACATGGACATAATTTTTTGTGTGTTGGACCAAATATAATAGAATTTTTGTGTGTGTTGGACCAAACGTTTTAACTTGAAACATGTAACTACCAACACAGATGAACTTTCAGTATGGACAACCTTTGTTTTCTACCGTATAACATTATTAAACAAATAATAAAGATTCTCACCTGGTAGGGATAGTTCACTAACAGTTCACCGTCGTGGAAGTGGCCGGAAAGGACGATGGGGAGGTCTTGACTCCACTTGATCATGGCTTTGGTTTCAGGCGCCACCTAGCGATAAAGCGAAGAAAAGCAGAGGAATAACCAGGGTAAAGGTAATCAACCATGAAAACCACTCACATGATTTTAAACTTTAAGCATCGCTACTGATATTTCCAAATGTTGTACAGTGTACTCCACTTATATGTATTTTCTTATAATTGTATATTTTGTGTAATTGTATAGAATTCTAAAACACCAAACCATTTACATGTATGTATAGCGCATTATCGTATATTCTGGCGTATCGTACAGAATTTGGTCCGACTAGATTGTATAATGACCCAGAGCTACGCATTAAATGTTAGCAAAAACGGGGTGATACTAGTTTGGCACCCGGGGTACATTTATGTATTTATTTTATTCACATTTATTTTTCGAGGATTGCACAAAAAGTTATAAAACTTATGTCAGCCCTCTCCTCACACATAAAAGGAAACAAAAAAACAAAGTAATAATAATAAGAAGAAGAACAAATGACAAAGGTACATAATGAGCTGGTGTACAAATCAAAATCAATCAACTAAATCGTTCGGTACATCTGCCTACCTGGTTGAAATACCAGAAGTGTGCAGGGATGGGGAAGTTGTGGTTGTCCCCGCCAAACTTCTCGTTGTAGTAGGCCTGGGAGTTCAGGTCGGGAAAGTTCCTGTTCAGGTCGATCCCCATCGCGTTCAGACGCCCGCTCCACACCGAGTTCTCGTGCTCTGGACTACCCGGGCCCTGAGCACAAAACAACGCATGAATGGATTCTAGACTTAGGCCACACCGTCTTAATTTAATGGATGACATCCTCTGAAGACCCCCAAGAAACTAGTGCGCGCGGGCGAATAAAATAAAATCCGGCCAAAAATTAACAAGGGTGGTGTTTAAAAAACACACCGGCGACGTGAGTATTTTAATAATATAATAGTATAAATTTGTAACCCTTTTTATATACCTTGTGTAAAAGGAATTTTTCTTATAACGGATTGTTGTTTTAGTACTACTGGTATGTTAAAATGTGTGTGTTTTTAACACCGTATTGTATGTAGGAAGTTGTATTGTTGGTTTTGAGGGTGCTAATATGATGTATGCATCAACGAATGAAATGTATACCCTGAGCTGTAACTCACATTCGTATGGATTTATGTTTGATTATTTAGGAAGTACGTGAGTAAGGTATAGTTATTAGGAAAGAATGGTATCTGACGCAAGTATTACTAAATAAGGATGAGCTTTTTGATAGGTATTGCCATATATAATAGACACGCTACGTGTACACCCAGTGGGTCTCCACCAGAAAGCAGACCGGGCGCTCGTCCAAGGTACCCCAGATATCTGGCGTCTCCATATTCCACCTAACATGTCTGACTTTCCTCAGCGCCTTCACAAAATTACGGAGGCGCTGAAGGGACTTATGCAGAGCTACCCCAAGGTCACAGTATGGGACCACAGACGTCTGTGGAGACGCAACCAAAACTACTTTGCGCCTGTCGGCCTACACTTGTCCGATCTGGGAAACCTCCAGTATTACAAGAGTGTCCGCGGGGCTTTAGACCGCCAGCTAAAGCACATTTAAAACGTGTTCGCTTGTCCCTTGTGAACCCCTTTCCTTTCTCATTCACAATTTGTGCCCGATTGGCTGGTTTCCCGTTTTTGGTTCGCACGCGCACTGGTCTTGGTTTCTTTCACGCAGTTAGGCGTGTTTTGGCCGGGTTTTTGACATGAGACACATGTTAATATATTTGAGACAATCTCTATCCTACATCATGCCTCGCACGTGTTGATACTATGGTTTGTGATGCAACAGAATAAAAGGTTGCATATCTCGCCAAACAAGAAATGTCTCTTCTGTTTATTGTGTTTGATCCTCCCTAGTTAAACCATGGAGGTAGAAGAGAGACTCTTCTACCTCCATGGTTAAACTTACTGTCATTCCGTGAGTTTGGAAGCTAAAGGCTACGAAGGACCAAAACGCCAAAATTTGTGCTCAACGAAGGAACTAAATTCAACAGAGAAGGGACTAATCTCAACAGAGAATGAGCTAACTTTAACAGCGTAGGCGCTGTGCTCAGCGAACGTACTGTACTCAGCGAACGCACTGTGCTCAGCGAAGGGGCTGTGCTCAGCGAATGTCCTGTGCTCAGCGAAGGAGCTGTGTTCAGCGAACGCACTGTGCTCAGCGAAGGGGTTGTGCTCAGCGGAGGAGCTGTGCTCGATCAGTGTTAAACAGCTAGGTAAAATTATCGCACCATCTTTTCCTTTTCCAATCAGGCCCGACAGTCCTACAATTTATCCGTCAGTCCTGCAATTTATCCAACAACCGGATTCAAAATAGCAATCATGAATTTTCAAGGTGATTGTTATAAAATAAAGGAATGAATTATTGGGCATTTCGCCACACTTGGTTAAGTTGGCAAAGTATAGTTAGATCACAACAAAACAAGACGAACAGATACATATACATGGTCTATTTGTATTTGTAAATCTTGGAGAGTGTGTTGGTTTATTACGGCTCCACGCACTGTGAATGATACACACGATGCAGTACTCTCCAAGCAGAGGTTTGGGTTTGGTGCGTTTTTAATTTTAGGCTTTTTTTTGATCGGGGTTTCTTTTTGCACTGGTTTTTTCACCCGTACCCCCAAAAAAGAAACCCCATTAAAGCCTAAAAAACACGCCAAAAATAACCCAAAACCCAAACCTATGCCTGTTGGAGAGTAACAGTGCAGCCCTCATGTCTGGCTTCTCCTAACTGTTTTACTGGCTCCCTGGAGCTAGCTCTACGCACTATGAAAACATATACATGGATCACGTCACTTCAAAAAAGTACCGCATTCCAGAATATATACTAGTAGCTTGTCTTAGATCGGTTACCAGCATTTGTAAATCTTGGATGATAGTGTTTTGGTTTTACGGCCCCACTCACTGTGATTGATACATACAGTTCCACACCCATTCTAGCTCCTTATAGAGCTGTTTTCCACGTATTAATTGACTGTACTATACTTATCAATAAGTGTTTTTGAAGGTGACGCGAACCATGTGTTTGTAGTCATACTGCGAGAGATCGCCCAAACTTGCCTTGTGCTCTCCATAGCGTTTGGCGTAGGATAGCTATTTGACATCTTGTAATTTGTATCAAGATGACCTACTATTTTTTAAGTGATTGTGTTTCTAGAAAATTCAATTCCGTATAAAAGCGTAAAAGTTGTCGAGAGACCCACCCTAACTAATCCAAAGCTCGAAATCGCCTAATTACCTTTGTCAACCGCTTAGGGACGAATGGCACAGAGGTGCGATTTCCTGCATTCCGTACGAGTCAGCATGAGAACAAGGATGTGATGAAAGCTTCTTGAAAAAGCTCCTTGGAACAATGGAGGATCAGATAACAGCATATTCAATTTGAAGCAAAAAAACAGCGTTGGCAGCGTACGTTTCTGGTAAGAATATTCTTTAGTTAGTGTTTTATTGTTGGAGCAAAGGTAAAAGATGATCAGACAGCTTTCTATGTGTCGCAAGAAGTCGAAAGGGTTGCACTGTGTGTATTATTCACAGTGAGCGGGGCAGTAAACCCAAACCCTATCATCCAAAATTTACAAATTTTCAGGTAACCGATCTAAGCCAAGCTATATATTCTGGAATGCGGTACTTTTTGTAAGTGACGTGATCATGTTTACTATAGTGCGTAGAGCTAGCTCCAGGGAGGCCAGTAAAACAGTTAGGTAGGAAGCCAGAAGGGCTGCACTGTTACTCTCCAAGCATAGGTTTGGGTTTAGGCAAGGAGGTTGCAAGGAGGTTAAAAAAGACCTCTTTTTTATCCTCCTTGGAATACCTCCTTGGGTTTTGGGTTATTTTTGGCATGTTTTTTTAGGCTTTGTTAATGGGGTTTATTTTCCTTTTTGCGATGGGACTTGTTTGGGGTAGAAAAAAATTCCAGTGACAAAAAAGAAACCGCGATAAAAAAGCCTAAAAAATAAACCCAGACCCAAACCTCTGCTTGGAGAGTACTGCATCGTGTATATCATTCACAGCGCGTGCTGTAAAACGGAAGGGAGGCTATTTCCCAGTAAGTCCGTCGCGACAGTTGCCATAGCAACAAACCTATCTGTCTGGCTGACCACCACCACCTCATGGGTGGTCCGCGTGCACACCATTCATTCAGTCAGTCGGTCGTCAGCTTCCCGCGAGGACCTACCAAGGACATTATTGGACCTAAAACTTTCGTTGTACTAACTGACAAATTATTTGACTTATTTGACTCATTTGCCGTATACTTATATCAACGATACTTACAACTTGACCCCTGAACGTATTCAACTAACGCTTCTACTGTTAGACGAGACAAGCCCGCAGAGAGCCCGCACTCCGCGTGGCCGTACCCCGGACCACTTGCCCCGTGGCCTTGTGAGAACAACGCCTGGCTGGACCACTTGCCCCGCGGCCTTGTGAGAACAACTGTCCTCCTCTCCACCAGCGATAACAGACCCCCAAAACGGTGAGTTCATACGTGCTTTTATTTAGGGTACACTTTTAAACAGGAGCTGTCAGGTATCATATACAAATATGGTAGGAGTGTATTTTATGTATAGAAACCTTCCGTGTGTGAAGTCCTGAGGACGACTTCACATTTCGGATCGGTCATCTTACAGAAGACATTATAGAAGACTTACAGTCTCCCATGTAACACTCGGCCTGTTCAGTGGTTGTTTTGTGTGACTTTGATTGTGAAACGTGTCAACGTTTTGCGCTGGACATATCCGCCTTGTCTACAGCTGAATTTTACGTTTCTTTGACTTGAATATGAAATGTACACCCTGTTTTGAAGCAAATGGTAGCGGTATGAAATGTAGCGCTGGACTACTTTAGTGTTTCCCACAATAATTCGCCTTTGATGTCCCTTGCAATGTGTGGGGGGGGCCCTCTAGACAGGATAGCCAACCTTTTTACCATTGTCTTATCGCCCTCGATAAACAGAAACCGTCCTGCTTGTGGAAAAGGACGCGAGAAGAGAGCACGTAGGTTTAACGAGCTCTGATTGGTCAATTCCGGAAAAGTTTGAGCGTGGCCCGTGCGATACAAACAAGGAGACCCCGTGCGGTACAAAGGGGAATTCCCCGTGCACTGGTCAACGTAAACCTAGCGGGCGAGGATCGGCTTTCGCGTCCGGCATAAATTTCCATATGGCCCACATGGCGACTCTTCTCACGGCTAATGCAACGGATGTGGTGTGTGAGATTCTGAAACACGTGGTATCTGGGTGTCTGGGAGAAGCAGGGCTGCCATTTAATTTAGTCGAATTAGGTGTCAAGCTTGTTTCTGGGCAGGGCCAAAAATAGTTTATACCAAACAAACTTCAGATTCTAGTAGCCGGGTCCTAAGGCTAAATGAGAAGTGAAATCTTCAAATAGGAAACGAAGCTACCTTCTTGCCAAAATATGGAAGCCACTTCTTAAATTTACAGGTAAAGAAGTAAGGTTATAAGCGTTTGTTTACTCCTTTTCGGTTCCCGCGATAATGACACGAGGCTAATCACCGCTGTTTCCCTACAGTTGCCCAGGCCGGCGGGCGTGGAGATACGTAGCCCCTTTGCCTTCTCTCAACCAGGGATACAGACATAAAAAAAGGTGAGTTCATGCGTACTTTTATCCATAATTCTACAGGGTGTGAATGTTTGGTAACGTCGGCCAGTTTTGGCAAAGTTAATTTATGAAGCGCGGAAGGACTGATGCAGTTAACAGCTGTCATGTCAAGTGTACTTTTGACGCACATTCTATATCAGCCTTGTCTTCAACTGTTTTCTACGTTTCGATGACTTGTTTAGGAAAGGTACACCTTGTTTTGAAGAAATACATTTTAAACCGCTACCATTTGCTGTGACGTTCGCACCACGATATGTTTTGGCCGAGATCTTTATGAGGCGCGGTGAGAGGCATATTACTGTTGACTTACTTGCTGTGCCTGTGCATAGAGGGTAGCCATTTAAACGGGGGTTTCCAGGTATCATATACAATAATGGTAGGAGTGTATTTCATGTATAGATACCTTCAATGTGTGAAGTCCTGTCTATTGTTTTGTCCTGACACTCAACAAGCCTCACACCTTATCAGACCAATGGCAGCCTTTCTTCTCTCCATACAGTTGCAGTACCATGTGCCTTAGCTAGTGCGCAAGCTCTAGCCGGCAGTTGCCGTGCTATAGCCGGGACAATCACACATGCCAGAAGCCGTGGTCACAGCTGACTCAAGCCTCCCGGTCACAGAGCTGATCATGACAACTGACTCCAGTCTCCTTTGTGTAAAATTTGTTTCGATATTGTTGATGATGGTAGAAGTAGCATGTTGATATCATATGTGTATTAAGTAGTAGCATCGTCGACAGAAAGAAGGCAACATGGGAGGGAACCAGATCAGTAGCAGAGCCATCACGTGCAGGCTATGTAATGCATTGCTAGCCACAGTATCACCAGTTAGAGATTACTGGGATGACGTACATACGTCTGTACTACGATGATACATTGCCTGTGTTTACGGTATCTTGTGTATATATTGTAATGACCTATTTTATATGTATTTACAAAACCTCGCCAATTACGGTTTAAATCGAATCGAGGAGAATGTACACATTTTGAAAACCATGAAGATGCTGAACAATCGGTGTATATGGGAGCTGTGGTACGATTGCACTCTCTAACTAACTTGTAAGAAGATGATAGTGCAAGACCTGATGAAACTCCGAACAGTTCCCTTGTAATTACTTAGACAGTTCTCTGTTATTGTAGTCCCTGTTATTGCTCCGGTTACAGATATGTGTGTTTCTTTGAACAAATGTATTATTCTTTGCAGAAGTGATGCACCACTGTTATGCGGTAATACAGAGTATAAATACACATGATTTCTACGACAAGGGACGTCAGTTCAAGAAGCAAAAGATAACTCAGTTAAGACTGAAAGGGTTAACGTATTTAGTCCTAGCCAGTCCGTCTTAAAAGTCTCCCGTGCCCAGTGTGCGGAAAGCCTTGTCTCTGCGTCTTTCCTTTATCCTCACAAAGTTGCATTGAAAGAAAAGAACTTGAATTCACCAGTTGGGTTTATGTTCAAACACATACTTTTCATAAAAAGAAGGATCCTCACAAAGTTGCATTGAAAAGAACTTGAATTCATCCTTTGGGTTTATGTCCAAACACATACTTTTCATAAAAAGAAGGATCTGAAAAGAACTTGAATTCATTCGTTGGGTTTAAGACCAAACACATACTTTTCATAAAGACGAGGATCCTCACAAAGTTGCATTGAAAAGAACTTGAATTCATCCGTTGGGTTGATGTCCAAACACATACTTTTCATAAAGAGAAGGAAAACTACTAGAAAAAAACTGACTTCAAATGCTGACCTTGTTCAATTCCAAACAATGATCCTGTCCAAGCTGTCGGAAAAGCTCCAAAGTCATTGAAAAACAGCTGGGAGGGAAGACATCACCCGCAAGGTGTTGCCAAAAATGAATTCCCTAGGGAATGCGTGCGTGGAATATTTAGAATTCCTGGCAATTCAATCGCAGTACTATACTAAGGGCTCCGCCCCTGAGGCGTCGCCAAAAAATCCTACTAGACCACAGGAATACAGGGCATACAGAGGCAAAGCTGGTACACAACGTATTGTGAATTTGCAGCAGAACATAGCATGCATATACGACAGACCGGCACATGATGGCTTTTTGCGGATTTATGAATCGACACTGTATGTATGTTCTGAGGTCTTGAGTCGTGGAGCTTCGATCGGTAGCCTGGGTGCCATTCTCCAGAGTTACCACCGGCTCCGTAGTGTCGCTATCTAGCAAGCTACCATGGACTATCCAGGCCAGAGCCTCGGATGACGTGACCTTTTTTTTTGAGAACAGACGAAAATCAATGCGCGCGTGGATGTCATCCATAGAATTAAGTCGGGACGGTGGTTGCTGTTAGGGTTATTGTTTGCATGGCACTGCCATGATTTCATGAATTTTAGGAAGGCTTAGTACTCTTCCCTCCCCTAAGTGTATACTGAACGAGCCCCATGGTCAGTAAAGTAGGACACCCGGGGCAGACACGGTTTCCTCACGCCTGGCGAGTCATTCACCAATGCCATAGGATACAGTTTCGCGCTCAGGCTTGGTGACATTGAAGAGAACCTGCCATGTAATGTCAACACCAGACCCCAATCTTTCAAGAGGACCTACTCCGGACAGAATCGCCATTCCGAGCTCTGACCACAAACCCGTGAAGAGGACAGTAGTCGAGCAAGGGATTCCGATCGACCAAGCATCAAAACTGCCAAAACGTTTGAACATAGAATGGCCGCAGCAGTACCGTACGACGACGCTTCAGAGGAATTGGGACTCGGACGCCCCAGAAGACAGAGACCGGGACGAGTACGGCCACGAATACGGCCCGGTAGAATTTGATCGGCGGCCGTGGAGCAGGAAGGCGCACGCCGCCGGGGTGGACCCGTGGACTGGTACCGGAGTCTGAAGCGGGAAGTGTACGCCCGGTACCGGGTCGAGAATTCGAAGGCGTGCGCCTACTAGCCTGGTAACCAGACCGCCGTGAGCTCAGCGATATCCCTTCGGCGCGGAGAGCGTTTGGGGCCGCCAAGTAGGCTACGGTGCTTCGGGGTTTTAGGTCGGCGGCAACAGAAGACAAAGCGAAATACAGGAAGCCAGCGGATCGATACAGGGAAACCAGCTGGAGATAGGTCCGTGGCATAACTCGCCTGTGCTTGGTAAAGGCCGGGGCCTAAAAATTTAATCTCCAAGCAGATGTTTCGGTGGCTGCAAAACAGTATCAAATTGGCCAGCCAGTATCCAACACGCCACCCACGCTATACGCCTACCTGCGTTACAAAAATGGGGAGTTATACGCAGGAACATTCGAGGCCTCGAGGGCGTGATAGCCAAGTTAGAAAAACAGATCGCCGGGAAAACGGAGACCCGGGACCTTTACCGGCTCCTCTGGAACCATGAAGACGGGCGCCGCGACCAGCCCGTCCCGGAACCGGAACCGCGAACACACGCCATGGGGGCCTTCGTGTCTTCCTTCCGAGCCCACTCCCACTTCGACATCGTGACCACGATCCAGGGGCTAACGGAGCAGGTGAAGGACTTTCATCGGGTAGTCGACAACCTGAGGGACCGAGTACGAGAACGCCTCGCCGCGGCTCCACACCATGACCATCCCGTCCTCTATTGCATCGCGAGAGGGACAAGCAGAGTTTGGGAGCTGGGAGGAGCCGATACAGCAACGTTGAGAACTTTGGACGCTGCCCGATCCAATCCCTCGATCAGAGCAGGAATCCCCCTGGCATGGTGATCAAGCGAAGACGAATTTGGACTTGAATATATGGACTTGATCCATGAATGTCATGTGGACATTTGAATATGAACACTAGTATGGACTATACTTCCAGTAACCAGGTCAGGTAGGAAAACAATTCCGAATATATATAGCTTAACAGTGTAGGCCTATGAGCTCTAACGGGTATCCGGGGTCTTTAGGTGGGTGACCCTCAGGGAGTTGCGACTCTGCCCAGCCCAGGCTAGCTATTGTGTAAAATCCCACATAGGCAAGTGGTGCCGTCACCATTATTATGATTGTTTTTGTGCAACCGCAATGCTCTGGTTTAGTACCAATAACGGAGGTTACAAAATGAAGTTTTTGCTTTTTTATCTCTGAAAAGTTCTACAGTTTTAGCTTCATATTTTAGGTGCAAGAAAGCATAAGTACGGACATTTAAAAACTGGGTAACTTTTATATACCAGGTGAAGTAACTAACATGTGACTCTATCTAAACTTCATGACCGTATTACTTGAGCGGTAACGGAGGTTACAGAACCTGGCGTCAGGTATGAACCACCTCGCACGGCGTACAAGAATGAAAGGAGTGGTCTGACGTGATCAGTGAAATGGCCTGACTATCCGATTTCAACAGCTACTAGACTGTTGCCATAATTAAATTGCTACGTTTTAGACTGTTTTTTAAAGTTTTCATGTCTTCTCAGGCGACAGCCGCTTTTTAGGGGGAGAAATCCAACCCGCGTACATAGTTTCTTCCAAGTCATCAATCGAACCTATTGTTGTGGTACATTTTTCGTGAAACATACTAGTAGTAAGACTTAGTGTAGTGGGAAAGTGAAGAAAGCAACGATGAGGTCCGTGATTTGGCTCATATCTAGTCGTAAAGAGTGGCGACAGCATTTTGTACATTTGAATGAGAACGAGTGTGAAGTGAGAACAGGCGTGTAAAGTGTATTTTCCAAGGGCACAAGATCGGTGGCATGGCAGGGTTCGAACCCGGGACCTCTGGGTTCCACTACCATAGCCTGAAGAAGAGGGAGTTTTGAAATCTCATCGAAAGTATCTTACTATGACTGCTGCGACCTCATATCCATCCGGGTTGAGTGCAGTGAGGATGTGGATACGCGTGTTGTCTATCAGAGTTGTAATGCGCTTATCTCCCGCTAGGTAGCGCTCGCACAGGTACCGTGTCAGGTGCAGCATTAGCTCTCGTCCCCGCGGCTCGTTCCCATGGATGTTGGCGACATAACGAAATTCTGGCTCACCTGGAGAAAAAAAATCGTACAAAGCATCTGTAAATGAGCAAATATTCACCAATTTCACACTTCCCATAATGCCCAGTAACGGTCACGGATATGACGTAAGACCATCCCCCCTCCCCCTGAAATTCTATCGAAAAAACTGGTCAACTATTGTTTTGAATTATTTATCTAGTATAAAGCACATGCCATAATTGCATTTTTATTTGAATTAGAGAAAATGACGTACCTTCTATCGTTCCGTAGGAGAGTCTTCGGTAGAAGGTGGAACGAAAGAAGGTACGTCATTTTCTCTAATTCCAACAAAAATTCAATTATGGCATGTGCTTTATACTAGATAGATAATTCAAAACAATAGTTGACCAGTTTGTCGATAGAATTTGTTGGAAATATTACATCGAGGAAGGGGGAGGGGGGATGGTCTTACGTCATATCCGTGACCGTTACTAGGCATTATGGGAAGTGTGAAATTGGTGAATACACCGTAAGTTGATAAACACTTATGTCGCAGAATGCCAAAATCTATTCCAAAGGACAAGAAGGAAATGTGAAGGAATGAATGAGTCTATTATTCACCATACCAAGAAAATATTTCTCTGTGATTTTAGTCATTTTTTCAGCCTTTATGATCACCTACATTTCATAATGACGGCTACTTTTATTGGCCAAACGTTTTTTTTATTTCCCACGCTCGCATCAGTTTTGGGGTTCCCACAAGATGTCATCCACATAATGAAATCCACATGGCCTAACGACTAAAAAAAAAGAAGAAGAAAAAAATACTTTGCATGGACCCAAGATATGCCATGTTTAAAATTCTTCAAAAAAAAGTGTACATTTGTCCCAATCCAAGAAGAGCACGCCCCCCCCCCTTTGTAGAGGGCCTGCATGGGGGTAGTGATTACGAATTACGCAAAATTTTCGCCGCCGATTACGAATTCAGTTAAAGTTTTAGAGCTGATTACGACTTTACGATTTGCGGCTAATGTACGAATTACGTTGATTTTTGGGAAGGCTGACTACGGGTTACGGAGACTACAATAGCCTGATTACGCCTTACGAAAAAGGGCATGCAGGCCCCTTTGTACATTGTACAGTTTGACATTGTACAGTTTATTATTCAATCAACAAAATCATACAAAAGAGTATGATTGTTCAATACAACAGAGTCAGTTACGTCCAGTCACCGTCCCTGTCCGGATCCCTGCCCCCTTACCTGGCTCATGCACGCCCGGGTTGTCAGTTATCTCCATGACGGTGAGAGCTCGGCCCCGCACGCTGTACCCGATGTCGTACAGTCTGGTGATGTTAGGACACATGGCCGCGGTCTCACGTAACGTCCGCTGCAGCGCCGCATAGCGGTGATGCTTGAACTCCACCCCTGAAACGAACAGGATACAGTCAGTCAGCTCAAAGAAGACTTTTAAAACTTTTTTTTTTTATTCCAACATGTAATCACAAGACGTGGTGACGGCACACTCAAGTTTTTTCAACTTATATCAATGCCGCCACCAACACAGGGGACAAATACGTGACAGGACAATACTCCATTTCACCTGAGTGAAGTGAGGAAAGTCGTGTAAAGTGCCTTTTCCAAGGGCACAAGATCGGTGGTATGTCAGGACTCGAACCCGGGACCTCTTGGTTCCGAGTCGCGCACTCTGCCGCTTCGCCACGACCCTACGTTTTAAAAGTTTTAAAACTTTGTTCAATCAAACATTTCTAAAGAAACAGAAAAGTTTCATCTTTGAGACTGGTAACCATTGTGAAGTGCGAAGTACCTCAAAATGTACAATAAAGGTATTTCATTTTATTTCATTAAAACGGCCGATTACGCTCTACTGGGAAGGGCATGCGGGCCCGTCTAAGCAGAGGTTAGGGTTTTGTACTCTCCAAGCAGAGGTTAGGGTTTTGGGGGTATTTGTAACATGTTTTTAGACTTTATTTTATGATTAAAAAAGTCTTAAAACACGCCCAAATAACCCAAAACCCTAACCTCTGCATGGAGAGTACAAAACCCCATACAACGCCACACGACCCCACAACCCAGTGTGGGGTTGACGTCGTGTGGCGCAGTCGGTAGCGCGTTCGCTCACACCCTAGGTTCGGCTCACACCCCAGAGGTCGCGGGTTCGAACGATAATGTTCTGGGAACCCTTCCCATGTCACGCATCTTGTGCCCTTGGGAAAGGCACTTTACACGACTTTCCTCACTTCACTTAGGTGGAAATGAGTACCTAGCTTCGGTTAGGGACGTCCTTCGGATAGGACGTTAAATGGAGGTCCCGTGTTTGGGAGAGCCACACCCCACGCACGTTAAAGAACCCACAGCACTTATCGAAACGAGTAGGGGATCTTCCCGGTGTGAGTGGTTCAAAACCTTACAGTCCTGTCTTACGCAGCTTGTACATGTACGCACATGTACGCACATGTACAAAACTGGTGTGTTACGCCTAAAGGCGGTTTACTAGTTATGCGAAACAAACCCTAACCTCTGCTTGGAGAGTAGGCTATACAGACAGCTGCCGGGTTTTACACGCACTTCTGACCCCGTCTGTCAGCGGCGGCCCAACCTGCCATTACTGTCTACCCGTGCCCTACATTCTGTGGATCTGATGGAGGAGTGATGACATGTATCTGTGGGGGAGGAGCATCTATAAAGTCTCCACCTGTACATACAAGATCACACTAGCCGTTTGAATCGTACAAGCGACATGTAACGGCAGAAGAGTTCGACTTGGAACCAAGAGGTCCCGAGTTCGAGTCCTGACGTGTCACTGATCTTGTGCCCTTGGGAAAGGCACTTTACACGACTTTCCTAACTTAACTCAAGTGAAAATTTGTTCTGTGTGTGGGACACAACACCAGCAACAGCTATTTTCTGTTCCACGTGTAGTGTATTGTTACAATCTCAATAAATAAAAAATCTCATCAAATCAAGAGAGCGCGGTTCCAAATCTCCAAGCAGATATTTTGATGGCAGCAAAAGCATTAACCGATTGCCAGACATTTACTTTTGTCAGCCGTCAAAAAATATACCAGTACAAAAGAGAGATCCTTATAAAAGCGCCTAAAAAAAGTAAAAAAAAGCCGAAGCTGAAATCACTGCAGGCGTAAAAGTCGATACCAGTGCAAAAAGAGAGCCCAATAAAAACGCAAAAAAATAAGTCAAAGCCAAAACCTCTCCTGGCGTAAAAAAGATTTCAGTATAAGAAAAGCCTAATACAAACGTCTAAAACGCCCAAAATAAGCCCAAGGGTGCCAGAGTATACAGTGCAATTTTACAGAATACAGTGCAATTTTACTGATGACGTTGAATGACGTAACCTGGGCCCGGCTTTCCAGGGACGCCGCTGACGGAGCGTACTCACATATTTCTGTGTTTTTCGAGCGAATTTTGCTCGTTCTCGTAGATAGACCTTTAGTCAAATCACTACATACTACACACAGGGCATGTTACTACACAGGGATCATTTCACATTCGCTCGAAAAAGACAGAAGTCAGCGGCGGCGTCCGCCATCTTGAAACTCAAGGAAAGCAGGGTCCAAGTCACGTGATTCAACGTCACTAGTAAAATTGCACTGTATTCCGTAAAATTGCACTGTATTCCATAAAATTGCACTGTATTCCTTAAAATTGCACTGTATTCCATAAAATTGCACTGTATTCCGTAAAATTGCATTGTATTCCGTAAAATTGCACTGTATTCCGTAAAATTGTACTGTATACTCTGGTACCCCTGAAGCCGAAGCCTTAAGGGTAAGCTTTTTCTTGACACAAGGGGTCTACGCTAAAAGGGATAATGTAGAGATTGGGAAAGTCATGGTGTCCATGAAGTTTTAGACGCAGAGTCGATGTGTAAAATGTTAAAGGTAGTCACATGGCCTTTTTCAAGCCGTCTTGTCACCCTGGGAACTGAGTCTCTTAGTAGTAATTTTGAAGTCTATGACGACTGGTTTTCGTAATGAAAGAGAATCCTAAGATTTTCATAGTAACAAAGATTACTTAGCTCATATTGGTACATGTAGTTATATATAGGAATGTGAATTCTTGTCTTGAGTTAGAGCTGTATGGTTTTAAGCTCTAGGGGAGGAGGCCCGATCAGTTGCATGGCCAAACAAGAGTTCCGAGATCTCATACCTCCATGAAATATGGGCTTGCTTTGTCATACTTCATTCAACATGTCCTCATTAATTATGCAAATAACCTCTACATTAACATAATATATGCATAGTGGTGTTAACCTACCTACACATAAACATGATGAAAATATGTTGTTCCTATCTGGAGTTATTGGCTTTAGAAGATTTCACCAGAAAGTCCCCTGCAGTTCCAAAACAAGCTACTAGGGGGACCAAACCCACACCACTTATTCCTGACAGAAAAAGCTATCTGTCACCAAAAAGTCAAGACCATAGCATGTTCAGGACAAAAGATACAAAAACCGGACGTTCTGCTACAGTACCAAGTCATCCACCAGGAGGCCCATATTTGACATTGACCTTTGTCTTCCTAAGACTTACCAACATACCAAATATCATCACAATCCATAAAGGCGTTCTGAAGTTATGCTGACTACAAATGTGCGGAAACACCAACAAACACACACACAGACAGACACACAGACGCCAAAAACAATACCTCCATGAAAATTGTGTAGCATAAGCTAAGCCTCACCCTCCACCATACTATAGAGGAAAAAGGCCTTCGCTGTATGTAAAAACATGCCTAAAAGTGGATACATGAGGTTAAGTCCTTAGATCGTGTACAGGGGAAGTATGTCTCTCTCTGCTTTGTTTGGAGACAAAACAGCTACGTTAGGAGGTCAGTGACCTGACTCAATGTAGCTACTTAATGAAGGTACAGACAGTGTTTGTTGAGTACGGAGTGAGTAGAGGTCAGTGACCTACTACCTGACGACAGACGGGAACAGGCTGGATAGAGACGGTCTGACCATGTCCGTTCTATATACCATCTATATCTATCTACAACTTGGCATTTTGTCGTCTACATGAAAGAAATATGATGAGATTTTAGACAAGGATCAGAGCTACAAACTCTGGCATGTTATCTGTTTATTTTGCTAGTTCTTCTCTTTCAGGCCGCTTTTGAAGCATGGTAGGGTCTAAGTTGGATGTGCAGATGTTGGGTGTGACAAGTCGTTCAGTGCATGTACTAAGGCCACAGCAAGTAAATTTTATGGATGGCATCCTCCACAGATTCCAAATCTAATGCGAGCGGGTGAAAAAAAAACAAAGCGGGCCGAAAAAAACAAGGTTTTTACATTTTGAAATTTTGACTCAATCATTGTACAAATGGTTTTGATTCAATGGGAACATCACATATACACAGCCAACATCACATATCACTGCATCAAAGTAAGAAACAAAACATAAAATCAGAGCCTTTTCTTGTCTCCTCTCTTTATAGTTCTCTGCCATCCACCTTCCGGCATGGCAACAGACATCTTGGCCTATTTTTGGCATGGTGACCACTGTCAGCAGGCAACATTTTTTTTCCAAAATCAGGCGATAATTAATGCGCGCGCTGATGTCATCCATACAAATTACTTGCTGTGGCCTAACGTGCTGCGTGTCTGCAATGCTGGTGTGTGTAATACGCCAAGGGGAGGTTATACCGGCTTACATAAACAGACTTTTAACGGTGCTGTTCACTGAGCTAAGTGTTATGGCTGACGTATGAATATGCCAAACGATGGCGGTGGATATCTATTTTTTGAGGATTGTATTCAAGGAAATCATTGTTTGGAATCCATAACTTTGCAGTACGGGGAAAGAAAGTGAGTGAGTAAGTGAGTGAGTGAGTGAGTGAGTGAGTGAGTGAGTGAGTGAGTGAGTGAGTGAGTGAGTGAGTGAGACGAAAAGAAACTATAACTGTGGAAGGACTTTGAAACAGGTACGCTGAAAAATTCTGGAAGATATAAACCACATTACCTTTCACCTTCGTGCTTTTAGTCCCACCTGTGTCTTTGCCATCGCTGATGTCTCCACTCACCACAACACTTGCGCTAGGATCAGAAAAAGAATGGAGATTTCAGACTTACATAGTACAGATTCTTGGCCACTCCATACCGCATCCTATCCTATACCAACCTGTAAATCAATCGGAAACCTAATCTTCGCCCACCCACTTCAGAGGGAGAGACACATACAAACTCCCACCAAAACAGTGTCACCCAAAATAATATTTTAGTCCCGGAAGTACAAATAATTTAATAAGGCTCTCTGATAATTAGTTTCGTTCTTTTACTGCATACAATACCACCATTCTCTTTGAAAATGTGACTAGGCGTAAAGTAAGTCTTCTTTTTTTGCGTTTTGGTTAACATTAGGCCATGTTGATTTGATTATATGGATGACATCCTCTGGGAACCCCAAAACTGATGCGCGTTCGAATAAAAATAAGTTTGGCCAAAAAGGTTGCTTTCATTATGAAATCTACGTGGTTTTGATGGTTAAACAAATGACACAGAGTATGGTTTGGCGAATAATCTAGTCTTCATTTCTTTCATTTTCGTCTTTTTCGTTTGATTTTGGCATTCTACGACATCGGTATCCTTTTCCCGTGTTTCTTTTTTTTCAACTTACGGTATATATTTGCTCATTTTGCAAATGTTTTGTACGATTTTCAGCATGGTTGAAAACTTTTTTATTTTGAAACGGCCGAAAATTAATGCACGGGCGGATGTCATCCATATAATCAAATAAACATGGCCTTAGGTTGAAAAGTCGACATTTTTTTTAATTCCAACATGTAATCACCAGACGTGGTGACGACACACTCAAGTTTTTTCAACTTATATTAATGCCGCCACCAACACAGGGGACAAATACATGACGGGACAATACTCATTTACACCTAAGCTAAGTGAGGAAAGTCGTGTAAAGTGCCTTTCCCAAGAGCAGAAGATCGGTGGCATGTCAGGACTCGAACTCGGGACTCTAAGTTCCGAGTCGCGCACTCTGCCGCTACGCCACACGACCTCACGAGTCGACAGTTTGGGCAAAGGTCAGACAAGGAAAATATTTGTGGTCAATACAAGTCACACAAAAAAAAAACATGTACAGCCACGAACTACACGTCTAGATAACGAGTAATAAGAAATTCGAGATGTTCAATCTTGGCTGGTACCGTACGTACGATATAAGGCCATGTTGCTTACATTATACGGATGACATCCGCGCGCGCTTGAATTTTCTTCCGTTTCCAAAAAAAAAAGTTTTCCATAATAGCGTAAATCGTACAAAGCAAGTGCAAAATTACTAGCAAATATATGCCGAAGACTGTAAAAATAATATTGGAGAACGATACTAATGTCTTAAGATGCCAAAATCAATTCCAAAGGAAATTAAGAAGAAAATGTGAAAAAATGAAAATAAAGATTCGCACGCTCGCATCAGTTTTGAGGTTCCCAGAGGGTTTCATCATATTATCAAATCAACATGGCCTAAATTGCTGTGAATATAGAAAGACCCCATGGAGGCCCACGTGTCACATGTAATAACAGTTGTGGAGGCGTGAACAAGACACAGCCGTGTCTACATGTCAATACTCTCTATAGGGGGGAGGGGGAATACATATAATTACACCATGTCATCTGTTCAACATATATCACGCCTTGGCAACCCTCAAGAGCCCAGTTACAATGCTCTGCCTGTATGAGGGCCTGCATTGGGAGTCGAGGGGGGATAGTGCACGTCATTGCGAATTACACAAAATTTTCGCCGCCAATTACGAATAACGTTAAAGAACTGATTACGATTTTACGCTTTGTGGCTAATGTGCTGATTACGAATTACGTTGATTTTTTGGGAAGTTACCTACGGGTTACGAAGACGAAAAAGGCCTGATTTCGTGTGATTACGCGTTACGCATAACAAAAAGGGCACACAGCCACCCCCAACCCCCTGTATATGTATAGCCGGTATGGTCGTACGATCCTCGTACCTTCGCAAACTTGAGGCATTCTTAGGTCGTGCTGTACATGCGGCGTACTAAAAGTAGATGATGTCTAGATTACTAGTATTTTTTTTTTAATTTCAACTTGTGACAAGACATGGTGACGGCACACTCAATATATTTCAACTTATTTAGTAAGCCGCCATCAACACAGAGGACAAATACAGGACAGGACAATACTCATTTTCACAGTGAGTTAAGTAAGGAAAGTCGTTCGAGTCTTGACCTGCCACCTATCTTGTGCCCTTGGGAAAGGCACTTTACACGACTTTCCTCAGGTGAAAATGAGTATTGTAGTAGTATTTGTACTGTCCGGATCCCCTGTGTTGGTGACGGCATTAATATAAGTTGAAAAAACTCGAGTGTGACGTCACCACGTTTTGTGATTACATGTTGGAACATTTAAAAACAAACACATGGTTGTGTAAAAAGACTAAGAATCTCTTTGTCCAGTAGAGCACCGAGCTTGAACATAGCGATCATGCAGTCACAGCATCGCCGCAGAGAATATATAAACCAGATACAGCTGTGTGTCTTCTTGTGCATCACATGACGTAAACAAACTCCCCGAGAGCCAAAGCACCCGAGTTTGATAAGACGAATCCAGGACAGACATCCTCAGTTCCACCGCAAATAAGTTAATCCCGAAGTTGACCAGGTTTCTGAGGCCACGCCAATTTAATTTCTTGGTTAACGGATTCGTCCACTTCATTTTTTTCTGATTTGCAAAAAAAAAAAATAAGAATCAACTGCAAAATGCTCATATTTTGCCCTGAACAGTTGAAAACGGTCCTTTTCATCCTAGTTGTTACATCTTTCAATGCAGTGGTATCATTAAAAGTTCCAAATTCATTGTTTAAATTTTGAACCAGCCTGGTGTGTTGACTTCATGGCTCCTATCGTACCATTTTGGGCCATAATAGATGCCTACGCCTGTTTTTATTTTTTTCTTCTTCGCCCGCCCGCTCCATTATTTTTCTAGAAAAATCCGTTAACCAAGTGTGGCCTGAGCGAGTTTTATCGCTCAATCAGTGGTAGTGTGTCTCCCGGGTGTCTTCATAAATTAAGTCCCGGCGCTTGTCCAAACACATTAAAAACTCATAATTGGCAACTTCCCAAAAACGACCACAGCCTGCAACTACATCTGTAGCTATAGATAGATAGATTTTTTTTGTATGGCATCCATAATTCTTTTTTTCAAAGAATGCAAAGAAATGTAGTGTGATGTTGTCTATACATATCAGTTAAATGTTAAATTATTTTGTCAAGCTCCTTGTCTCATGGACAGAATGTTGTAGTGCGCTTTGTTGTATAAACGTTAGTCTTAGGAAGATGTGCTACGGTCTAATAGTTTGCAGACTCTCCTAAACAAGTTCACATGTTGCGGCCACTGCCACATGCTGACTCAATAGCTAGTGGCGATCCTAATAGAAAAGGGGGGAGGGGGGCGCTGGGATGGTACGGCACAGAAATGTCACGGTGTTGGCAGCGGTGTTGTCTGGGTCACCGCTAACTTGGGGAGAGGAACGCACGTTTTCACCTCGTAAATGGTTTATGTTATACAGCAGAGAGCATGCCATACTTCTTGGTGACAAAAATGTTTAAAACTCTAGACAGGAACGTTTAAATTTTAAATCAAAAGTCGACAGCAGCGTTAAAAACGGCAAAAGAAGTTAAAGAAAAACTTTTTTGCTGAACTTTTTGGCACAAACACATTAGTTTTAGGGTGCCAAGAGGATGTCATCGATATAATCAACGACATTAAAAATCAAATGTAAAGCCCCTTGATATAATCAAATCTGTATGGCCTTTACAAGTTACAAACAAGGTCAAGTTTTTTGCACGTCTGGACATGGTATTTTTTTCATATTCCAACATATAATCACAAGACGTGGTGACGGCACACTAAAGATTTTCAACTTATATTAATGCCGCCACCAACACAGGGACAGTACAATGCTCCTTTTCACCTTAGCGAAGTGAGGAAAGTCGTGTAAAGTGCCTCTGACCTTGGACAAGATCGGTGGCATGTCAGGACTCGAAACCGGGACCTATTGGTTCAGAGTCGAGCACTCTGACACTCTGTATTTCTGACACGTAACCACAGGTGCACTAGTGACCGTAGTGTTATATATGACTAAAACGAGCGCTCGTAAAATGGGATAAATCAAATGCTTTCTGGAAGTAAAGGTGCCCGCCGATGGTGGTGCGACAATTTACTCAGCTCTTTCCGTCAGACACTATAAAAAGTGACACATTTGTACCTCCTGCCCTAGTGACCTGTCAAACCGAGACACATGTGAGTCACATATCCCACCACGTGGCAAGAGATCTGTCAGGATGCCAGCCAAGAAGGCTTCGTTTTTTATTTCTTTTGAGAGGCTGAAAGTTTCCATAAAACGTAGCTAAACCCTGGAGACACGTTGGAGTGTTTTATATACATGTAGTCCACTGTTGAATGTAGAGCTAACCAATGCCAGCTGTTCTAGCAATTTAAATAGCGGAGCTACCCAATTTCGTAGCCTGGATGCTAGCCTCATAACACGTTATCTAGGCCCAGAGTTCTAGCCTGAGGGGGCTATGATAAAATTTCGTCAGGGGCATATTGGCTCTACAGGCGAGAAATTGGCATGTGTGTATGCCCTGGAAACAGTCTGGTGCCCAGGCTACCAATTTCGATACTATACTATAGTATACCCGTTAATTTCCAGCTGTCAAGGCTAACCGCATATATGGCATCCAGGCTTTAGTCAAAAGCCGGAACTATTTGATTAGATTGACTGTTCAGTTTACAGACATACCTGTCGAGACAGCAGCAGACGAGAAGAGGAAACCAGGAGCGGAAGGTGACAGACATTTCTTCCCGGGACGGCCTCAACTCCGCCCCCGAGTAAACCTAAACACGCGAACGGTCTGATCCGAAGACTCTCTGTCGAGGTAGTAGCGCCGTTACCGTGCATCCTGCATCTCGGCAGCCTTTAATTTGAGTTTATGAACCTCCTAGGACTGAGTCTTTAAGTAAAAGCAGCCCGGCGGGAGAATTTGAAGAGCCCGGCGCGGAGTGAGAGAGACCGGCGCGGTCGCGGTGGGGCCTCCGTGCCTCGCCTGTCGTCTGCACGCTCCGCCCGGACACTCGGCCGCCCCCTGTGCGTCTGTAAACACGCGGGAAATTTGGAAAAATGTCAGGCATCCTCCTTCGGGAAGAAAGCCCTCCGTGTAGTCACGGCACAAGATGAAGAGCCTCCTTTGTTAGTTCTCAATCAACAACATGATCCCACTAAAATTAAGAAAATATTAACATGGATAAAGCTATTGCTCGAGTGACCTTTTAGCATAAAAAGTTAAGATTATGCAAACAGTGCTCGCCTGTTGGTATCAAGACTACACGCTAACCGACTGCAAAACGCACGTACTCAATACACGCAGACTTTCAGCATTTTCAAATCATGTCAAAATGCATGCAATATCTGTTTTCATTCCAGTGTAATCCGTCGGATCGGATATAAGTGATATTCGACATAAGTTGCTGATGTTCCTATGAAATTGGGTACGATCAAAAAGGATAAAAACCTCATGTCCTTATTGGTAAAATAAATACTGAACAGATGATACGCGCTTTTTCAAAATACTCGCACATATCAAATAAGAATTTAGACATCAGAAAACGATTACAATCATTTCATGCATAACAACTCATGATCTGCCGGCAAGGTTAATAACCATAAGAACTTAACAGCATATTTCTTGGATCATCCCCTACTTGGATCATCCCCTACTTCATAGGTCTTTCCCTACTTAAATCTCCCCCTGCTTGGATCGCTCCCTGCTTAATGTTTTAATCTTCCCTTTCTTGTATCATCCCCTGCATGGATCGTCCCCTACTCGGATAATCTCCTACTTAAATCATCCCCTACTTAAATCATCCCCTATTTAAATCATCCCCTACTTAAATCATCCCCTACTTAAATCATCCCCTACTTAAATCATCCCCTACTTAAATCATCCCCTACTTAAATCATCCCCTACATGAATCACCCCCTACTTAAATCATCCCCTACTTAAATCATACCTTACTTAAATCATCCCCTACATGAATCATCCCCTACTTTAATCATCCCCTACTTAAATCATCCCCTACTTAAATCATCCCCTATTTAAATCATCCCCTACACGAATAATCCCCTACATGAATAATCCCCTACATATGAATAATCCCCTACATGAATAATCCCCTACTTGGATCATCCCCTACATGAATAATCCCCTACTTGGATCATCCCCTTCTTGCATCATCCTCTACATGGATCATCCCCTACTTTTATTATCCCCTACTTAAATAATTCATGGATCATCCCCTTCTTGCATCATCCCTCTACGTGGATCATCCCTAACATCTGTTCCTGATCGACTCGACCCACAATCCCACGGGACCACAACGAATGTCGTTGACCTTCAACCACCATGATGACCTTCTTGTCTGTCGGAGTACACTTGCTAACGAGGAATAAATAGCTGTGAATCTTACAGTTTAGTTTTTGAAATGAGTAAAAAAAGACAACATTCTGTTTCCCCATGCACAGTTTGACTGATACTGTTATATATCTTATAAATTAGTTTTTCAGATAAATTCCCGCCAAGTCTGTGTTTGAGAGATCGGAGCTTGCTATGCTTGCTACAACTATGCTACACAGATGCAATAAAGGTATTGCAGGACCTAATGCCGATCTCTCATTGGTCTATCCACTAATCAAATTGTCAAGCCG